ATTTAAGGATATATTAGTAAATTTAGTATAAATTTAATTAAGTATAAATTAAGAAGTGATCTAATATTACATGAAAAATGTGTAAGGATGAGCAGACCAAGGTAAGGATAAAAAATAAAAAAAGAATTTTTACAAGAGAGTAAAAATTAAATTTGACTGTAATTTAGTCAATATTTGGTCAAAAATTTTCGTCTAAGGCTCGTTTTGACCAGAAAAGTGTACTCTACACTTTTACTTAAGAGTGTAAAGTAAGTTGTGACAAGAACCTTTGTGTAATAAATGAAATTGTAAATTCTGAGGGCCAAAAGCTGTCAGTACATTTTTTTCAACGAGTTTAAATCCTAAAGACTTAAAACTTTTAAAATAAATGTAAAATTTAGTACTGAACAAGTTTACTTAAGAGCCAAAAGCAAGTTAATTTAGTAAAATAAATAGTTATAAACATTTTTGTACGAATGAATTTTTAGTTAAGATTTGTGTAAAGGATTTGCAAAAAGAGTTCCCAAGATTTTAATCAGCCTTTTACTTATTAGATTTTACATTTATTTTTTTTTTATATTTTTTTTTTTTTTAAGTTAAAGTCCCTATCTTGGGAGTTGCAATGTTTTTATTCAAGTATATTAGGACATGGCGTGCCACCAAGGGCTCACCTTATATTGGAGGTTACAACTAATCATACATGCACTTTTGGTGCCTAATTTAAGTAGTCTGCTTACATATTACTATATAAGTTCTATACTAGTTGTCATACCTGCAAGCCAACTAGGGGTCTTGCCTATTTAAACCCTCTGCATATGCAGTCCTTCTTGTATTATGAGAACGTCTCAAGGTGCCACCCATTCAAGTTCTCGATGCTTATCGGTATCCTTAGGACTACTTTATCCTCGATAGGAAACTTACTAGAGCCTTTATATCCTACACATATAGATCTAGTTTTATACAACATACTATAGTTATCTAACACTTGCAGTTACAGAGGTTATCTGTTTAACCACTACGTTATACTATTTCTACTCTTGTAAAGTTCACTAGAACCTCAGTACCCATCTTTCTGGCATCTTTTTCATAATCCCCTACTAGCTGCAACTTAGAACCATCAGTCTTATTCTAGACTACCAATCCAGATGGCCTAGTATGGTATACTTCTGTATCCTTTTCCTCTAGCAAACCTGGTGGTCTGGTTGGTTATGTGCTCCTCTACACATATTTGTCATCTGGTTTTAATCTTCAGTTCTTATGAAGGTGTTTAATGGGCTTCAACTGGTCTGATAATACTATCAAAAGTTTATGCTACCTCTTTACTCAGGGATTTCCAAGTGGGTTTTTATCACCTCAGTTCCTTAGTCTTCTATACCTGGTGGTCTTATTATGAGTTTGCACTAAAGTCTTATGCAACACCAGTTAACATTTCTCTATGTATGTATAACATTACACTTTACATAGATGTCTTGAGCTCCCAAAGCCAGGGGGACCTGACCTGGTGTACCTGGGTGCCAGCCACATGAGGCCAACCAATCGACAGGAGACAGTTACTGTAATGCAAATATAATTTCCAAATTTTATTGTAGGTGGGATTTGAATCTTAGACCTGCTACTTGGAGGATGACAACCCAACCATTACACTAGGATCACCATCCTCTCAATCCAAGATATTTTAAATTTACTTTTATCAATTTTTATCTAGCAAAAAAGCATCTTTTGTTAAAGAATTAATAATTTTTGTTAAAAAAGTTTAACAAATTTAATTGCAGTTTTTGATAAAATCCAGTAAGATTATATAAAGTTTTGGTTTTAATTTAATTAATAAAAAGATATTTAATTAATAAAAGATGTAATAATAACAAATTTGAATTAAAAAAATAGTATTTTTAAAATTAAATATTTTTATAACAAGTTTTATTTTTATAAAATAAAATCGTTTTATGAAGATAAATTTTTGATTAATATATAGAATATTTTTTAAAAATTTGAATAATGTTTTTTCAATCAAATAATTAATAGTTTTTATTTCATTAAAAATTATAGTATTAATTTAGTAATTGATTCTATTTTAATAAAATTAATTTAAAAAATTGTTATTTCTGTTTATAGATTTGTAAAATATAAAATTTGCTACTTTTTATAATGTTAATTTTGTTATATTAATCTATAATTAAAATAATATGATAATTTAATATTACTAATCAATCTTATTAACTTAATTTATTGCTTTAACATTAGTAATTGTTTTTGAGCATAATTTAGTTACAATCTTATATTCAATATTTATATCATATACTTATTTGTTTTTTATTTTTTCTAATTGTTAATATTTTTAGTTTTTTTTTTTTAATATTATGTGATTTTTTTTTTATATTTTACAAACAAAAAATAATATTGATATCAAGAATATTTTTAAATAATTTATATTTATTAATTATTAAATTATCAAAGAAAACTTCAAGTTTTGTAGAATTAAAAAAGAATACATATTTGAGTAACTTATAAATAAATTTGTATAATCTATTATAATAAGTTCTGAAAATGTTTTTGCTTAATTTTTTAGTAAAATTTATAAATTTTTGTATTTAAAATTAATATCTGAACTAATGTTATAATTAAGTTTATAATCTAGATATCTGTTTCTAAAAATTTCTTTTTATTTTTTAAAATCATGATTTTGTTTTTAATTGGAAACTCTTATATAAATATAATTCTTTTTAGTAATAATAATAAAACTAGTACTATTTTGTTTTTATAACAATACTTTAAAATATTATATAATCTTATTACAAATTTAAATATCTTGAAATTTATCTTTTTTTTATTTAAATCAACAATGTAATATTTGTACTAATATTTTTAATTTATTATTATTATTTTATAAGCAAACAAGTATATTTTTCTTTTTATATTAGTATAAAATAAAATTTCTTTTTTTATATTTTATTTAATATTTATTAATAAAATATGATAATTAATAAAATAGATAAATTGTTAATTTCTTAAATAGTAGGTTGTAAGTTCAAAACCTATCAATAATAAAAATTTGAATAATTATCTATAAAATACATTATATTACAATAATGTTATTCAGTTGATCAGTTAAGATAAAATATTTATAATTATAATTATATAAATATGACTAATAGGTCATAAAGTATTTATATAACTTTAGTTATATAAAAAAATACAAAACAATACTGGGTAGTATAAACCAAAAATAAGTTTGTAATTATGTAAATTTAAAAAACTAAGAAAAATTAAAACATACTTAGAAAAACCTAAATAGAAAAATAATACAAATCTTTAATAATATTACTATAAAGACTAAACTTAGAAAACAGATACCAATATAAAAGAATCAAATAAATAAGAACCTCTAAATAAAGATACTATTATCCAAACTATCAGAATTCAAACTAAAAAAAAAATATTAAGCTAAACTCAATATACTAAAAACAGATTACAATCTTACCAAGTTATTTGAATTAAGAATTTGAAGACAAAACAAAAAATATATTAAAAATATTAAAGATATAATATGAAGTTGGTACTGAAATCTGAATGAATTCTATAAAAATATAGTCTTGTTAATAATTCATAAAAGAAGTAAAGTAATTAACAAAAAAACATCTTAAACTTTACAATCAGATGACATGTTCTAAAACAAATAATAATTTAATAATCTTACAGAAAAGAAAAACTAAATATTAGATTAGATGACACTTAGATGTACAGAAATCAATATACTATCTTTCAGATGTAGTATAAGGATCAAAATGTTTAATTAAGTAATCTTTAAGTAATCTTTTAGCAAATTACAAATATAATAGCTAATGTAAAACCTGTAAACAAACTACTTAAATAGATAACCAAAAATTGCATATATGACTAGTTGTACACTCATCATGTACAAGTTATGTAAACATAATTAAAAACACAATAAAAGCAGTAACCGCCATTAACATTGACCTTAGCAAAAGCAAAAAAAAAATATTTGTTGATATACAAGTGTTTATGTAGTGATGATAATCACGTGATTATTTTACGTATCAAATAATGATACATATTAAATGATCATAATATATTATTAATCAAACGAAAGTATCGGTAATTGGCTGAATTAAAAATCCAGTGTATGGTTCCACCCTCTATTATGAAAATTTTAAAAGTTGGATTCTTTATATCTTTTTACGCAGTTTGGTATTCAATACCGCAGTAATGCATCTATTTATTTAAATTAAGTACTAAATTTGTCGAATAGTTTTTAATTTGTGAATTTTGATTGGTTCTGTTCGTTTCAAATTTAACGGAAAAGCAACAATACTCGATCGAACCATCCAATCATTGTAAGCAAAGAAGTCCATTCATAAGCGCAGAAGTGTGCATAGATTAAAATTCAGTTGTCAAACCCGACCATTTTTGTCGAAGTTCTAATTGTACATCTTAATAGTAAATAGAATAGATTCTCGTACAAGGTAATACAACCGGAAATATGATAACCTACAAACCCCTTAAAATCTAAAAAAAAATAAATAAAAATAACAATAAAAAAATTAACTTTTTTTTTTTAATTTTTACGAGTACGTAAGTACGTGTCTTAGTAATTTAACTGTAATTAATTTTTTATTTCTTCGCAAATTGCAATATATTGATTTATTGTATCTGTTTCTTTTAATACTCGACGTCTCCTTCTTCCAGAATGGCACACTTAACATTTTAAGTCGTTCCCAAAACAAGTCTTCGTCTTGATTTATACTATTTATCAAGCATTATTGTAGTTTCTTTTGTAACTTTCCTTGCCACAAGAATGGCGGTTTATATACAACTCAATTTCAAAATGTGTCAGCAATAACAGTAGTTCGACATTTATGATAACGTTAAAGTTTCTTTATTCCATCAGATATAATAACGATAGCTTTCGACTTTCAAAAAAAAAACTTTAAATTCTTAGTTAGATTCCTAACGAAAATATGGTGCCAACTCCCAAAATTACCAATAAAAAAATTATATCCAATATGGATCAGATCAAAATCATCAGCGATGATTCTAACAAGGTCAAATCATCGGAGGAAGTTAATGACACCATTTTATTTGGCATAAAATCGGAAGAAATGAATGGCACCATTTTATTTGACGAATGGTTGACCAATGATCTTGAGAGTTTCCTATCAAAAAATGGTGATTTTTTATTCACCCCCAAGATCATAGATCACGATGTTTCACCTCTTGTATCCTCTTCTATGAACACCTCATCAATATTTAATAAGATTATTAAATCTCATAAATCCGATTCTCCTCTTTTCACATCTATTTCCACACCCGACTCTGCTAAAGGGGGTTTCCCTGGTAACTCTTCACAATCAATGAGACATGGTTTGACGTCATTTGTACCTGCGGTTACTATTCCTGCGGATGACCAACTTTCATCGCCCATTTGTCAACCAGATTATACGTCTGCTTTGAATATTCCTTGGGAGCCCGATGAGATTAATAACCCAGATTTTCTTTCCGATAGTTCATCTTCGCTTACTTCCGTTCTAGTGAATAATAGAACCGATATTTCATCTAATAGCCTTGTGACAACCAAGATACTTCCTATAAATTCTCCTGCTAAGATCGCAGCAACGTCACCTGCAGCAAGTACGCCCTCTACCTCTCTGTTAACCAAAACTACTGCTGATAATAGCCGTAAGCGTTCCGTTAATGGTGTTGAAAAGGATTCAAAAACTGTCCCCGAAGAATTGGCTATTAAACGCGCGAAAAATACTGATGCAGCTAGAAAAAGTCGTCTTCGTAAAGTTTTAAAAATGGAATCATTAGAGAAGCAGGTAAACGAACTCAAGATTGAAAATAAAAAATTTCAAACTCGCGTTGCTGTTTTGGAAAGTGAAAAGAAGGGATTGAAAGAAAAGAATATTGAAAAAGATAATAGAATCAGATTGTTGGAAAAACAATTAGTTGAATCACATGAAAGGTTAATCAATATATCGTAATAGTTTTTTGTTAACAGTAAATGAGGAATGACTTACAGATATACAGGAGCATAGCGGGCTTTCATTGTAAATCATTCCGTGATATCGTAAAAATTTCAAAAATTTAAACCTTAACTAAATCATCACAAATCTAAATCATCACAAATAAAGAAATTTCTATGTATGGTGTAGGAAGTCAGTTATACGAAGTGTTTTAATTTTTTAAATGATTATAACTTTTTATCTAAGGGATTTTAAAAAAATGTGATCAGTAACTTTATAGAGCTATATTAGCTTTTTAAATATGTCAAATATCTTTTTAAAATCTTATTACTATAGAGTTGATGTATATGTAAATTTATAAATTTTACATAGAAAATTTTAATTTTCAAAATGCATTAACTTTTTACAGTAATAAGATTTTGAAAAAATATTTGACACATATACAAAGTTGATATAGTTTTATAAAGTTACTAGTTAAATTTTTTTTAAAACCTTTTAGATAAAAAATTATAATTATTTAAAAATTAAAATATTTTGTATAACTTTGAGTATAGATTTCCTGCATTATATAAAATAATTATATTTAGAACAATTTTTTTTTAAGAAAGGTTTTTCTTTTAATTTTTATTTTAGTAATATATGATTAAGTACAATAGTACAAATTGATATATTAATTTAAGAAAGTAGAAGTTAGAGTTAATTTATCTTTAACTTATTCTTAGTTAGAATAGTTAAAAGACTTATAGTTTACATATTTAATAAAAAAAGAAGTATAATTAGACTGTATAAATCTATTTAGTTATATTATGTATTGTTTATCTATAAGAGCTTTAAGTGTAAATTTAGCAAAATTAACATTAGTATTAGAAAAGGTTAAAAAAGAAAAGGTGTAATATTAAGATGTTTTTTGCTTAGTTTTTAAATATATTTATATATTTTTTTATAATTTATAATAGATATTAAAAAGTATATTTAGTTTTTTTTATAAATCTAAAATTAGAGTGTTAGTTATTATCTTAATAGAAATTTCTTGATATATATTAATGTTTTAAATTTCTTAGTTGGTCATTTAATATAATTAGTTAAATTTATAGTTTTAGTAGTTTATTTTTTATTTTTTTGCTTTTACTAAAACTGTTTATTATCAGTAATTACTGCCTTTATTGTGTATGTACAACTAGTTATATATATAACTTTTAGTTACTTATTTAAGTAGTTTACTTGCAGATTTTATATTAGTTGTTATATTTGTAATTTGCTAAAAAATTATCTAATTAAATATTCTGATCTTTATATTATATTTAATAAATAGTGCACAAGTTTCTATACACCTAAGTGTCATCTAACCTAATATTAATTTCTCTTTTTATATATCTGTTAAGCCATTACATATTTCAGAGTTATTATCTCTAAGGATCTTTCTGTTAACTAGTTTTACTCATTTTTTATAAGACATTAATAGAGTTAATTTTTGTAAAGTTTATACAGATTTTAATGCAACTTTATAGCATATTTCTAATATTTATAGCATACTTTTGCTTTGTTATTTGACTTCTAATCCAGATAGCTTAATAGAACTATAAAATATTTCTAATATGTATACTAAGTTTAGTCTAATATTTTTTTCAGTTTAAGACTTCTAATAATTTGGTTAATAATACCACTTATCTGAGGTTCTTGTCTGCTTAATTTTTTTATATTAGTATTTGTTTTCTAGATCTAGTTTTTATAGTAGTACTGTTAAAGATCTGTAATATCTCTCTATTCAGGTCTTTTCAAGTAAGCTTCAGTTTTCTTAGTTTTACAAATTTATACAATCACAATAACTTATCTTGATTTGCATTACCTGGTACTGATTTGTATTTCTTTGTATAACTAAGTTACACAAATAGTTCTTAACTTGCTAGTTATGCTAGTATAACTGTAGTTATAGGCATCTTATTCCAATTGATAAACAAAATGCTGTTGCTATAATACAGATATATTTTTCTAAATTTTATCTTTGATGAGTTTTAAACTTATAAGCAACTATTTGAAAGTTAACAACTTATTTATTTTACTAAGTTGTTACATCTAAATTTAGTTGTTTATCAAATCTTTGTGTATTATAAATAATAATAATTGTTTATATTAATTAAAGAGTTATCTAAAATAAAGTTTAATATATTGGTAAAGTTATTGTTATCTAATTAAAAAGTTGGTAAATTTAATATTGAAGATAATGTACTTATAATTAAATAAGAAAATATCAAAATTGTTTCAAAAAAAATTAGATAGATTAAAAAAATTAAAAAGTTATAATAATAAGTCTTAAAATAAAAAAAGGTTGTAAAATTAAAAGATATTATAAATAATAATTTTATATATAGTTAGAAAAAGCATTACACTATAATGATAATGTTTTAAAGTAACAAAATTCAAAATAATAGAAGAATGAGTTAGTCAAATATATTAAAAATAAAGTAAAAATACAAATAATAGAGTATAGTACTTATCTAGTTTAGGTAAAACTCATGATGGTAATATTGTAGCATAGCAAAATAGTAGAAAAAATAAAAATAAAATCTAAAACAAATAGTATTAGTTAGTACAAACAAAAAATGTATAAAAGCAAAAGCAGAAGTTTAATAAAAATATTTATCTTGGTATTCTTAGCTAATAGAAGTAGGATCAAAATCTTTATAGTAGTTAATAGTTGTAAATTTATAAAAGTTAGTACTTAATAAATACTAGGTTAAAGTATAATAAATAAAATAAAGTAAAAAAGTTTATACTTGACAAGTCTTGACTATGTCTTGAAACCTTATATCACCATTATTGTAATGTTATATAAGGTCTTAAATGTTGAAGTGACAGACTTGCTATTTACTTATTACATTATAGTAACAATATTTAAGATCAGTTGAGTTTAAAAAATATCAGAAAATGTAACTAGTTCTTAATTTCATATATTATTTTTTGAGCTAAACATAAACATGTTAGGTAATAGTATTAAGTATAATAGATTATGTAATATGTATATATATAAAAACTAAATTATAAAAAAATTGCTAAATTTTTTTATATTTGTTTTAGTAACTAAAATATATAATGTTATTTGTAATTTTGTAGAAAATAAACTAAATTGCTACCTTTTTAATAAATTTTTATAACAACTATAATTAAAAAAATAATATATTAGTATTCTTTTTTAATAAAAAAAAATTTAATTTAAGTTCTTTTTATACTTTAAGTTTTTTTGATAAAGTTTGTAATATAAGTATAAAAAAAAGTCATTTAAGTATACTGAGAATTTATAAAAGTTTATTTGCATTAATAAAAGTGTTAAGTAATTATTAATTATAGTTTTGAAATGTTGTAAAATAGTATTTGTAGTTTTGTTTCTTTTAGATATATTAAAAAAAATTATTTAAATTGCATTAAAAGTATAGTCTTTTAGGTATTTTTATAATATTTAGTTATATTATTTGTAGTTTTAATTTTTTTTTTTTTTTGTTATGCCAAAGTAGAAACTTCATTAGATAATAAAAGTAATTACATTAAAGATTTCTAAACTACATTTGTGCTACTTATTTAAGACACCCAATATGATATTACACCTCCATTTTTATATAATACTATTATTAATTATATCAAATTAATTTTAAGTATAAAAAGGTTAGAAAAAATCTAAGATAATAGTCTTGGCATTTAGTAAATATAGTTAGTAAATGTATAGTCTAGAATTAACCAGTTTTTAATAGATATAGTTAGATTTATAGTAGGTGTATTGGTAGTATTAAAATTAAGTTGAGAAGGTAGAGTTAAAGAATATATTTTTGAATATTTAGATTTTTTAGTTATATTGTAAGCTTTTTCCCATTGTTGTTAAAAAATGTTATGTGATAGCTATATATGTTGATGAAACCAATTTAGAGTAGCATTTGATAGAGCTATAAAGAAGAATAATGTTGTTTTATAAAGTAAAATATTTTAACATTATTATAATAAGATATAGAGAAGAGGCCTTCAATAAGATTATGAAAATGAGAGTGTAGTAAAGTGTTTGTTTGTTGTGATAAGATAATATAAATTTTATCTAAAAGTTCAGAAAAGATATTTAATTATTGAGTAGTATTTGAAATTAAAGTTTGAAGAATTTGTTGAAGATTATATTTTTGTTTAGAACATGTAAAAAGATGTGATATGTCTTCAAGAGTTTGACAATAGACACAATTTGGAGTAGTATATAAAAGTAAATATTTTTTTTTTTTTTTTTTTTTTTAACCTTAAGCAGTTACGCTAGTACTTTATTAAGATTCTTGAAACTAAA